CTACTCCTTGTTACCCTAACGGTACCTGCATGGAGAAGTGGCTTATGGAATTGATTTAGGGCAGAAGAAGCATTTGATTTCTTTTTATTTAAAATTCCAGATTAGTCACATGTYTGAGATGGAAAGAGGATGGATGATCTTGAAGGATCCTTAACCTTACTTAACTGTGAGATCTGAAGGTCAGCAGTGCTCAGTCACATGGTACCCACAGAAGCCAAAGAAAAAGTTCAGGAAAGTGTATACTCTTGAAGAGAAATGAAACTGATCATAGTAGACAATACAGAGAAATAACCAGACACAAGTAGGAAAAAAAGAGGAAGAGAGGAAGGCAGAAAGGGAGAGAGAGAGAGAAGGAAAACACACTAAGGGTAAAGTAGAAAGATTTTTCCCTGTTTATCTGGGTCTTTTCCCTGCCTTTTTTTACTAACTTTCCCCCTTTTATATCTCTAAATATACAAATAAAATAATCTCTTAAATAAATCATTTTGATACATATTTATATTCCAAAATAGATTTAATTTATAAAGGGCACTAAATATGATCATATATGGTTATTTTCTATTATATAACACAAATATGACACAAAATTTTTTTTGCTGATCTGTCATTACTAGGATAATAGTAATGACATTACTAGGATAAACAGTAAAGACTATTGCTATTTGCAGAAAAATTATTAAAAGCTTATATATATATTTTTTTCATTTTATCATTTTCCCCCTCTTCCTTCAAGTCAAGTAAAGTAGATGAAAAAAACGAAAGAGGAAGAAATAATTCCCTCCTTCCCCTTTATAATGCAAGTTTCTTAAAGCTGGGGGTTTGTCTATTTCATTTACATTGTCATTTTTTTTTTTGTCTACTATATTTACTGTTATATCCTAACTAACTAGAATATCTGGCATGTAGTTGGAGCTCAAATATTTGTAAAAGAACTACCAAAATGATGGAAATCTTGTAAACTACCAAAATGATGGAAATCTATAAGAATTATTTGGAAGCATATTGAACATGTTTTAAAAACATATTAAAAGATATTTTATTCTCACATACTTGCTTTGAGAAGGCTAGAAACTTAAGGACCATAAGCTTCAGATATAGTGAGTRAAACTACTTAAGCCACTTGTTCTAATGTGTCTTATCAATCAAGTGAAAAACTTATTTAATTAATTCACTAAACAATACCATTGAATCCCTATCATGTACTTGCTACTATTGTAGGCAAGGGATCTATTAATAACCATCTGAATTTAGAAAGGGGATAAGCCAATTCTCTAAAACAGAAAGCTAGAAGCAGTAAAGAGTAGTAATTAAGAGATGGCCTCTGGAGCCAAACTTTCTGGGCTCAAGTCCTGGCTCCACAACTCATTAGCTGTATGCTCTTGTGCAAGTTACTTAACCTCTTTGGGCTTATAGGGCTCTGTCACCACAAAATTTTCCTCTAAGGATTCTTATAGTCTGTGGTCTTCTATTTACATATCTGCTACACTCTACTAGACCTTGAAGCCCCCTTAAGAGCAGTATGTGTTTGACTCAAATTTGCACTCTATCAAATATTTGTTGAAAGAATGAAAGTAAGGGTAAAGAAAAATATAAATATATGCTACTTCAATGGAAAGCAAGTTGGGATAATAAAATGTTCATCCTCCTAGAAGGTCAGGCAGATGGCAAAACAGAATAATGCAGCCAATTTTAGGAATTAATCACAGTCCTTACTAAAAGGGTTGTAGCCAACTAATGAACAGCTCATTTCAGCGCAGGAGTTTCCTTCTCTTTGGGCAAATTATTTTCACAGGTAGGCAACTTCACCTTGTTAACAGTAGTATGAAACCTATGTAGTCTGGATGTTTGATGATAACTGGGTAAAGAAAGCACATATTTGGTTCTTACTCTTCTTCTGCAACATTACAATTGACAAGTGGGAAGTTAGGAGAACCCACTGACTTCTCACACTGTTACAGAATGAACATAGGTGGCTATTCTTTGCTCAGTTATCTGGGCAGTCTGCCAAGATCCATGAAGGAATGTCTTTGCTCTTGGCAGGGCACTAATAACCTTCTTGCAAACCAGGTTCTCTCTTGAGAATGTGCTAAAATCTCAGTTATGAAACTTGAATTTAAGTGTTTTTTTCTGTTATTTCATGGAAAAACCATGTATTCTTTTCTTTACTTCCTAGTATGCATGTATTTCTAATTTACATAGATTCTGTAATGTGAAAGAGAAGCAGTCCCATTCAGATTCCTTCAGTTATTCTTGCTATTACTCCCTATTGACACAAGCAAAGAATTTCCTCCTTTAAAATTTGCTTTGATGGGCTGGGGCTGTAGCTCAGTGACAGAGCACTTGCCTAGCATATGTAAGGCACTGGCTTAGATCCTTGGTACCATATAAAAATAAACAAAYAAAATAAAGGCATTCTGTCCATCTACAACTACAAAAAAAAATTTTGCTTTGAATTGGATTACAAAATATGGCTCTTGGGCTGGGGATGTGGCTCAAGCGGTAGCGCGCTCGCCTGGCATGCGTGCGGCCCGGGTTCGATCCTCAGCACCACATACCAACAAAGATGTTGTGTCCGCYGAGAACTAAAAAATAAATATTAAAAAAATTCTCTCTCTCTCTCTCTCCCTCTCTCTTAAAAAAAAAAAATATGGCTCTTTTCTAAATCAGTGATTGTTCACATGCTTTCTGAGTTGGGAAGATCCTAAGTCATGTGAGACAACAAACTGACAGAATTCTTCCTCATGAACTATCTCTGGCACCCCAGTGACCTTCCAAGGGTGAGGCCTGGCTCAGTCTACTGTGCAACAAGAACAAAACAAGAATAGGGGCCTTGGATTTCTCTGTGACCTTGCAAAAGTCATTTGACCTCACCAGGCTACATTTTAAGATTAAATGAAAATAATCTTCAATTCCTTTCCAATTTTTGAATTCTAAGGAATAAAGCTATTAGGTCATCCACATGTTGGTAATACACTTGTGTTTATATTCACAATATGATTGTATCTTCATCTAGAATCTCAGTACTAAAAGTAAATTTTTAGAATGACTTGGTAAGTATATGACACAATAATGGTAAAAAGGAGAGACCCTTAATGCAAATTGTTGTGTGACCTTGACAAGTCATGTTCTTTCTGGGTCTCAATAAACTCAATTTAAATATATTAAGCGGGGATGTTTGTCAAGATGACCTTTAAAAGGCTTCATCCAGTTCTAAAGTGACAAAGTCCGGAAGTACTCTGATAATAAGTATCTCTGCTTCCTTGCTAAAATAATTAATATAGAAACTACTGAAATCATAACTTAAATGAGTAATAATGTCATATGACAAAATAATAAGGAAATACTTATTTGGAATTAGTACTGGTCCCCAATCACCTTAAAGAGATGGAAGGACTAATGTGYCCTTGCCTGAAAACATGTATTTTCAGGTTCTGGGAAATTTCCAATTCACGCAAACATTTCCTCACACTCTCCACTCATTTTCATATTTTGAGATAAATGGGAAAAATATTTCCAAATATAAATACAAACACTGAAGCAACTTCCCTCCATCTGATGGCAAATGTCACCTTCAAACAGTGCGCAGATTATTCCTACGTCAGTTTCCTCGCCCCGCCTCCCCCTTCAGCAAAGATATGGAGACCTAGGGTGCACGTTTTCAATGACATTTACATTTACAATGACAATTACATTTATATGCAGTGCTTCTGGAATCCATAACAGAACAGTAAAGAATATTTGCACTAGTTATTTGGCTAGTGATGCAAACGAGCTCTGGCATTATAACGGCATCAATAACAGGTTTTAACATTTTGAGAAATTAGATATGGCGGCAACACGTCTCCTGAAAACGTAGATCGTAATCTGGAGCACCTGGTGAAATCCTGCCTTAACAGTCGAAGGCCTTTTGCTTTCAAGGGCTTTGTGATTGAAGCTCTTAAATACTTTGGGACGAGGGGGGGGGGAATGAGAATGAGAGAGGTGGGGGGAGGGAGAGAGAGAATGAGAGGGGGGAGGAGAGAGAGAGAGAAGAGAGGGAGGGAGAAAAAGAGGTTAGGATTCAACTAACTCCTCCTTTCCATSAAACCCCATCGTCCTTATCAAGCTTTACATAATTCTTCAGAGAAAATCAGAACTTGAATTCCATCCCCTCGGCACGCAGCAGGATCGAGATTGCGCCTCTCCAAGGACAGTGATATCTCCAGAGCCTTTTGAAGAGGCCCCCAAGTGCATATCAACCCCTTCCCAACTACTGGAATACTGCGTCAATCCCCAGAATAAAAGTCAGGGCGTTACAAACGGCGCTAAAGACCGCGACTTGCATGGCTGCAAAAGTCCGTCAAGCGCAAGAAACCCCACACAAGGGTGCAAAGGCTGGACACCGGCAGGAACCCGGGCCCACACTCACCATGACTGAAAACTGCGCGGACAATTCCTGCACCAGCAAAACGAGCTGCAAAGAGTCAGGTCACCTCCACCGCGGGATCSACACAAGGAGGGCGTGCGGTGGCCKCCAGAAAAAGCTCGGCTGCGGCCGCGGCGTCTTCTGGGAAACGTAGTTCACGCTAACCCTGCTCTGGCCCAACCTCCGAAGCATTTCCTTAGTGTTGAACTACACTTCCCGGAAACAGAGTGTCTCTTCACGTCCTTCTCCTTGCGCTCGTAGCCGGTTGTAAAGTAGTCCCTGACGGGGAGCTTCTGATTGGAGGATGACTATGAGCGGAGGGTTTGAGCTCCGGGGGGAAAAGACGGCCTGTGGCACTCTACAATTGGCGGGAGGGAAGGCGTGTGTGACTGGAGGGAGGAGAGACAGACCCTTAGCGACAACACCCACACGCGCACTACTGAGACCTTAGCCCCTGCTGAGGCTAAACGTGGGCGGTACACAGACCTTCCGCTGCGTAAAGCCGGCTCGACCCGGAAACAAAACCTTTTAAAAACATTGTACCCGCTCCCGAGGGGCGGGGGCGTTGGAAATGTCGGGAAGACCACATAGCTTCTCAGGTTGCTAGGCGACGAAGCGGGAGTACCTGAGCGAACTGTGGAAGCYACGGCTCCCAGACCCCCGAGATCTAGAGCGAACACCGCGCCCTCCCCGGTCCTCCCTCACTTTGCTGGGAGTCCTCTACCTTGGGTGGCGTCCGGTGAGGAGGAGAGAGTTTGTGGGGACGCCCCCTCCCAGGCGACTTGGGACTGCACGTTTTCAGCACTCCGGAGTCAGGTGAGCCCTGGCCTCAAAGTGAGAAATTTTCTTTTTACTTTAGCGCCCAGAATGCTGCTGTGCGCCATCCAGCATTGCTTTCTCTAGGGTGCAGCTACATCCAGAGGGTGCCCTGAAGCTCGCGCGTGGAAATGCTACCGTATTCTGGAGTAAATAGAGTCTTAGAGTTTGCGCCCTATCTCCGGTATAAAACGTAGCTCTTCCAAAGTTAAATCAAAAATATTTATTGAGTCTCTGTGGAAGGTGAGCCCCTCTTCCCAGCAACTTGCATTCCACGGATCTTTCTTTGCCCTCCTTGAACGTTGACACTTTCACCCATTCTCTCTTTAGCAACGAGATGCACTTTACATCACTTTATCCCTTAAAATTATGCCAAATCTGCATATCTGAGGAAAGAGTGGCAGCTGAATGGGAGACACTAGTTGTCTCAGGCAGAATATCAGCTGTTAGAAAATTTAAGAGGTAGATTTTTATTTAAAAGTAAAGCTGCCCATAAGACATTCAGGGCTGTCTGAAAGCTGTTTCATGTGGATATTGAAAGGAAGGTGTGCTGCTCTGCCATAGTATTCCCAACAAAATGAATAAAATATCTTTATTGGATAACATTGGTATAACTTCTGAGTTTTATCCCTGGTAAATGAGTGCCAARTGATATCTTTCTATTTTTCTCCATTTCATTTTTGAAAGATTTACTATTCGGGGGAAAGAAATATAAAGCCGTGCTTTCCTAGGTGATCCTTCAATAGCATTTATCATATTTACATGTCTCCTCTTTGAATCACTTTATTCATTCAGTTTTCAGATAACATATTTTTCTGATTTTCCTCTTTTGTTACTGATTGCCCTTTCTCAGTCCTTCCAAGGTTTTTTTTTTTTTTTTTTAAAAGCTCTGATCTCTTAACTTTGGAGTGCCTGTTTTCTTCTCTGTCTACACACTTAATCCTTAAGTGAACTCATTCTTGAGTTGTATCACTTCAAATGCTACCTCTGTTTTAAAAATTCCCAAATTTGTTTCTAGTCTGGTATTTCAGGAGTATTTCTTAATTACTTATTATGACCACTTGATTTTTCTAATAAGCATTATTTCCATTGTTTTACAGTATTTCCTACTGTGTACGGAAGTATAACCCTCTTTGAAAGAAATAACATGACTTGCCCCAGTTCTATGATGTTGGTTGTGGATGAAATTACCAGATTTCAAACTGTAGGGTAGAAATGACTGGTTAGATGAAGAACTTACTTTTTGGAAGGGTTATTAGTCTGATTCAGTAGACTGAAATCTCCTGTTTTCAGGAAAAACTCGTCTGTTTTGGAATCTGTCTGCTTCCTTAAAGTTTCAGTTTGATTGTGTGTTTAGAATAAGTGGGTTTGATCAGTTAGGGTCTAGTGAAGGAGCTCAGTCCAAAACATCATTATCCTCCCCCCTCCCCATAATTTTTGTTTAAAAAGGAGTGGAGAAAAATTCTCTAAACATATTCATTGCCATTACACACATTGAACTTTAGTCAAACTACCTGCTATTGCCTGAAAATATACTCTACTTTTCTGCCTCCATATTTTATGTGTGCTTTTTCCTCAACTGCAATCTTATCCTACATTTCTGCCTATTAAAATTCATTCCACCAGGAGCTTTTCAAATACTTTGACCTTTGTGAAGCCTTCATGGAAAAAAATTCAAGCATACACAAAATAAAGGTAATATAATTTTCTGAATCCACTGTACTGCTTCATTAATTATTACCATTTTGCCTTCCTTTCTTCCTTTTCTCTCTCTCTCTCTCTCTCTCTCTCTCTCTCTCTCTCTCTCTCTCGCTGGGAGTTGAATGCAGGACCAATCCTTGGGTGCATGCTAAGCATGAGCTTTACCACTGAGCTGCAACCTCCACCCTATGTTTTTTTTGACAATCTTCCTTTTTCTTCCTCTTTCCCAACATTTTCAAGCATTCAGAAAAGCTATACAGTGAATACTCTTTATAGTAGTTTGAGTTATTGGAAAGTCATGATAAATTTTAAACTAGAATAGGTGGGATGGCCAACTACAGAAGAGAATAAAAAGGAAGTATGAATAAAAGAGGTGATAAAGAGCAGCTGTGACTTCTAGGATGAGGAAGAAAGACTAGGATAGGGCCCCTCTTCAAAAAGGTCATGTCCATGTTTACATGATGTATAGAAGTGCCCTCTGTCTTTGAGGAGACTGGGGCCTGAGGCTACTGCTGGAGCTTGTCTTCTCAGCATGGCTTTGGGATTCCTGTGCTGAATAATAATAATAATGGAGTTATAATGGAGTTCCAGAATTTGGAAGGAAAGTATCTCCCTGCTTCTTTTACCTGGCAGCATCATTCCATTGCCCTGGAGCTGGCCAAGGAGAAATGTTTGTAGGATGGCACAAAGCAGGGCAAAGAAAGGTAGATTTAGAACTAAGAGATAAATTGATAACCATATGCTCACCACCTATTCTATAGTTGTTAAGCATTTTGCTATATTTACTTCATTTGTCCATCTACATGAAGTCTTGTGGTTCCTTAGCCTGATTATCACTGTTTTAAATTTAAAAATGATTATTTGCAAAATTAATCTATGGTAGGAAAAAGTACTATCTGTAGTTCCCTCTGGGTGTGAGTTGCTTGGGGATTGACTGGATAGGGGTTTCATTTTCAGAGGTGATTGTGTTTGTCAAAATCTGCAAATGGTGCACTTAAGATTCATGCATTTCATGTTATATAAATTTTATCTAACACCATAAAATGATTAAACCCTAGTTATATATATATTAAAGAGTTTAGGCGGTGAAGTATATGTAAGTCTACAGCTTTCTTTGAAATGCATTAAACATATGMTAGATTAATGGATGTACACTAATAGTTATGTCCAAAAATGAAATATACATAAAGCAAATATAGTAAAATGGTGAAATACTAGATAATTATAAATTTTATAGAATCTAGTGGTTATTTACTTCACAATATTTTTAACTTTTCTGTATYATGTATTAAACTAATAATTTCCTTGTGTAAATGAATTATGTCTTGTACATCTATGTGCCTCATAGAACAAAATATGCTRTCTCTCTGACAATAGGTACAAGCAAAAATGTCTTTAAAATTGTCATTGTGGAAGCTGGGAGACTAATCTTGCTTAATGAACCTAACCAGTTTCAAAATTATCTAGCTAAGCAGAATTTTTGTAAATGCAAATTGTATTGGGGAAATTGGTGAAATACTGAGAATACCAGAAATTTCTCAGTTTGATATTAGAATAAAACATTATTCAGCCCTCTGTACCTGAGGGTTCTATTTCTGTGGATTCACTCAATCATGGATCTTAAGTATTTGGAAAAAGAATTGAGTCTATAGTGAACATGTACAGGCATTTTTTCCTTGTCATGATTCCTTTAACAAAACRGTGTAACAACTGTTTACATAGCATTTACATTGTGTTAGGTATTATAAGTAATCTAGAGATGATTAAGGTATAGAGGAGGATGAATGTATGTTATGTACAAGTACATTCCATTTTGTATAAGGGATATGAGCATCCTAGGATTTTGGCACTGTGTGTGTATGTGTGTGTATGTGTTTGTGTGTGTGTATGTCTGTGTCTGTCTCCTGAAACTAATTCCATTCAGTCACTAAGAGACAGCTATATTTTCAGTTTTGCTGTAAATAGCTTATTRTTAGCTTGTTTACCAAATTATTTAGCTAAGTGATCAAGCTTAAATTTTTAGGTAGAATTATGAGATATATATTTACTGATTATTAGATTATATATACTTACTGAAATTATCTTTTTGTTCTAAGATGACAGGTTTATTGTATGCTTTTTTTTTTGCCTGGGGAATATATTTGGTTCCATCTAAATGGAACTGTTGGTAATTGTAGATGGGGTATATAATAGGCACAGAAAATGGGTGTGTTTCTCTTCCTACTTTCATGACTTTGCTGCTGGATTTAACATTTATGTTACAAAATACTTATTATGAAGGTAACAATTTGCAAATCAACTATCCTCTAAAGGTAAGAGTGTGTAAAGAATGATTCTCCATAGAATTCCTTATATTCCCCTGTTACTTTTTTAATTGAACATTTTAATATCTTTGCTCCCAAATTGAATTCTATAATACCCTCCCATATTTGGCTAAGTTTAATCTTAACTGTGGCACATGAAGAATTTCATTATTTATATGTTCAAGTTAATTTATAGTTTCTGGAAGTAAATCAGAATCAGATTTTCATGTCTTAGTAGCTTTGATCTGTCATATGATATCTTTGTTGGTCTGTTAATTTTATGTAAAAATGACTCAAAATTGGGAGGTGTTAAATTTCCAGACCCTCATAAATTTAATATTTCCTTGATATAGGTTGTCATGTAATTTACAATTGTATTGTTTTATAGTTTGTATGTAATTATATGTAACAATCTATTCTATTCTATATGTATTTCATATATATATAAAATTCTGAAGTAGAATGAATAGCCTCCAAGATACATTTTATATATTATATATAATATATTCTACATTTGATATATATAATTTTAACATTTTAATCTTGAAGTAAAATGAATAATATCCTCATTTTATAGTTTAGGAAACTCAGTTTCAAAGGTTGTGACTTGTCCAAGTCTTTAGCCATGTTTACAAAACTATGATCTTACACATAATTTTTTTGTTGTAAAACTCATACTGTCTCACACATTTTAACATCTAAAATGTGTCATGTTTATCTAGTAATAAAGGTAATTAACAATGTATAATAAATACTGACTTACAACAAAACTCTTGTATCTCTCTTCAAAATGCATCTGATGGAATGTAAATGTCCTAGCAATTTGATATTTACCATCATCCATTCAAAAAATAGGTAAATAACTTTTTTTTGACAGTCAAAAGTTGAGGTTTATATATGTATGTATGCACATTAAACACAATATATGTATATATAGCATATACATATATATTTTTAGGTTATTTTAATGCTTAAAGGTTTTTAATGATCACAGTA